TTTTGGAGACAGGGTCTCACTTTGTCACCCAGCTGAAGTGAGGTGGTGCAATCACGGCTCACTGCTGTCTCAACCTCTCTGGCTCAAGTGCATCTTTTTATTCCAGCTTCCCAAGTAGCTAGTACCACAGGTGCGCACCACGATGCCCAGCTATTTTTGTTTTGTTTTGTTTTGTTGTGGAGATGGGGACTCCCTACATTGCCCAGTCTGGTCTCAAACTCCTGGGCTCAAGCAATCCTCCTGTCTCAGCCTCCTGAAGTGCTGGGATTATAGGCATGAGCCACCATGTCTGGCCTACCTGTCTTTTTTCCTTTGTTGGTGGTATCCTTTGAAGCACAACGCTTTTTAATTTTGAAGAAGTCCAATTTCTCCATTTTTAGTCTGATTGCTTATGCTTCATGGCATCATATCTAAGAAAGTACTGCCTAATTCAATGTCATGAGTATTTATACCTATATTTTCTTCTAAGAGTTTTCTAGTTTTAGCTATTCTTCAGCTTCTTTAACTTTTACATATGATGTGGCATAAGGTCCAAATTCATTCTTTTGATTGTGGACATCCAGTTGTCCCAGCGCCATTTATTGAAAATACTATTCATTCTCCATTGGATCATCTTGGCACTCTTGTCAGAAGAAAAAAAAAAAAAAAATCAATTGACCATAAATGTATGGGTTTATTTCTAGGCTTTTTTCTCTTTTTGTCTTTTTTTAAATTTTCTTCTTTTTCTGTCACTCTTAGGATATGCTTAAGTTACTATTTCTAGGCTTTTTTAAAAATCCGAGACAGAAGTCTCACTCTGTTACCCAGGCTAGAGTGCAGTAGTGTCATCTCAGCTCACTGCAACGTCTATCTCCCAAGTTCAAGTGATTCTCGTGCCTCAGTCTCCTGAGTAGCTGGGACTACAGGCATGCACCACATCTGGCTCATTTTTGTGAATATTTTTAGTAGAGATGAGGTTTCACCATGCTGGCCAGGCTGGTCTCAAACTCCTGACCTCGAGTGATCCACCTGCCTCAGCCTCCCAAAGTGCTAGGATTACAGACATGAGCCATCATGCCTGGCCTATTTCTAGACTCTTAATTCTATTCCATTAAGCTACAGCCAGTACCACACTATATTGGTTACTGTAGTTTTGCAGCAAGCTTTGAAACTGAGAATTATGAGTCCTCCAATTTTGTTAGTTTTGGCTATTCTGGGCTCCTTGCAATTCCATATGCACTTTAGGAGCAGCTTGTCAATTTGTACAAAAAGCCAACTGGGATTTTTTTTTTAGGAATTGTGTTGAATCTGTACATCAATTTGGGGAATAGAGGCACCTTAACAATACTAAGTTTATCCAATCAATGAATACAGAGGTCTTTCTATTAACTTGGGTCGTCTTTACAGTTTAGTAGCTCTAATAGTTTTTCTGGAAATTCTTCATGACTTTTTATATGCAAGATCATATCATCTACAAATAGAGACAGTTTTACTTCTTCCTTTCTAACCTTTCATTTGGTTGCCTTTGTTTCTTTTTTCTTGTCTAATTGCCCCAACAGAACAAAGTTAAATAGAAGACATTTAACTTTGAGAAAGCAGACATCTTTATCTTCTTTGTGATTTTAGGGGAAAGGCTTTGTCTTCCTTTTTTTTTTTTAGAGACAAAGTCTGGCTATATTGCCCAGGCTGGTCTGAAACTCCTGGCTTCAAGCGATCCTCCCATCTCAGCCTCCAAAATGTCTGGGACTACAGCATCCACCACTGCCCCTGGTTTCTTTCATTAAGTATGATGTTAGATGCAGGGTCTTCATAGATGTCCTTTAGCAAGTTGAGGAAATGCTCTTCTATTTTTAGTTTATTGAGGTTTTTAAAAAATGTGTTGGATTTTGTCAAATGTTTTTTCTCCATCTATTGATACAGTGATGTAGCTTCTGTCCTTTATTCTACTAATATGGTATGTTACATTGACTGATTTTCATGTTGAACCAACCTTGCATTCCTCTGATAAATCCCACTTGGGGTGGGGCATGGTGGCTCACATTTGTAATCCCAGCACTTTGGGAGGCCGAAGTGGGTGGATCACTCGAGGTGAGGAGTTTGAGACTAGCTTGGCCAACATGGTGAAACCACATCTCTACTAAAAATACAAAAAAATTAGCTGAACATGGTGGCGCATGCCTGTAGTCCCAGCTACTTAGGAGGCTGAGGCAGGAGAACTACTTGAACCCAGAAGGCAGAGGTTGCAGTTGGCTGAAATTACTCCAGCCTAGGCGACAGAGTGAGACAATCCCAATTAGTCATGGTGTATAATCCTTTTTTATATGTTGCTGGATTTAGTTTGCTAATTCTGTTGAGCACTTGCACATCTATATTCAGGGATATCAATCTGTAGTTTTCTTTTCTTGTGATTCTTTAACTGGGTTATCCCACCTTGGGTTTTGTACTAGCTGTTCCTCTGCCTAGAATACTCTTCTCTGATCTAGGCATGGCTGGCTCCTTATTGTCTTTCAGATCTCAGCTTAAGTGTCAGCGTCAAACAGGGGCTTTTCCCATCACCAATCTAAAATAACCTCCAGTTATTCTATATGATCCTATTTTTATTTTCATCAAGGAATTCTTCACTTTTTTTTTTGGAGACAGAGTCTTGTTCTGTTGCCCTCGCTAGAGTGCAGCAATGTGATCTCGGCTCACTGCAACCTCTGCCTCCTGGGTTCAAGTGATTCTCCTGCCTCAGCCTTCCTAGTAGCTAGGATTACAGGTGCATGCCACCATGCCCAGCTAATCTTTTCATTGTATTTTTAGTAGAGACAGGGTTTCACCATGTTGGCCAGGCTGGTGTCAAACTCCTGACCTCAGGTAATACACCCATCTTGGACTCCCAAAGTGCTAGGATTACCGGTGTGAGCCAGCGTGCCTGGTCTGGTTTTTTTTTTTTTTTTTTTTTTTTGTTTTGTTTCCCCTCACCATTTTTTTTTTTTTTTTTTTTTTGGTCTGTCCTCCCACACCACCTATATCTTATAGTACCTAGTACACTGCTTGACATATACTAGGGCTTCAATAAATATTTTGTTTAATGAATGAATGAATAATAGCGGCTATCATTTAATGAGTATCTATTCTGTGCCAGATACTGTACAAGATGCTGTAAATCCATTATTACCAGCCCTGATGTTCCAATGAACAAACTAAAGCTTGGAGGTTAAATAACTTTCCTGAGTCTACAAAGTTAGGAAGTAGCAGAGTCAAGATGGAACCCAGCTCTGTCTGGCTCTAAAGTCCTTGTTTCCTGATGCCATTCTGTGGCAGTGGAAAATGATAGGATTTGAAGACAGATCTTGTTCAAAACCTGACTCTGACTTTCATTAACTAGCAACATGACATTGAGTAAAACTTAATAACAATTATCTACTTTAAGCCTCGATTTCTTCAACTTTAAAATGGGATAATAATAACGGTAACATGAGTCTGTGATCCTCCTTATTGAAGAATGTAGCATGCTATAGATATCCAATGGTAGTTCCCCATTTAACCCAACATTAGTAACAGAGGTGGTCTATTAAAAGCCACACACTTGGCAGGGCGTGGTGGCTCATGCCTGTAATCCTAGCACTTTGGGAGGCCGAGGTGGGTGGATCACCTGAGGTCAGGAGTTCAAGACCAGCCCGGCCATCATGGTGAAACCCCAT